TAACTCGCTATAACCCGAAAGCCACAGTTACCATCCGCTTTCACGTTCAAGTAGCTCACTACGTGCTCCAACATATGCCAGAGAATACTATTCACGAATTCAAAACCAAATATACCTGTCGACATACCAGCTGAAACATCATAATAGTAATTTTACGTCACAATTTATATAATATAATTTATATTAACACTTTAATTAACGTTCAGTTGTTAAAAAAAAAAATATGTCACCTTGTGTTGCCTCTTGTGACGGTTGAGAAGACTGGCTGCTTGTGGGTCCACGCGAAGAATTGTTTGTCGTTCCGCGTGAAGAAGTGTCTGTCGGTCCACGCGAAGAAGTGCTTGTACGGCCCACCGGACGACCTCTCGAATTATCCCTGTACTCCCAGCGCGATGGTTTACGCTTAGTCGAATCAGTTTTCTTGGGACGACCTCGCGTATTTTCATTAACCTCAGGCTCTGCATAAGTGGTAAGCAATACACAACCGCAGCGCTCGTAAACTTCATAGCTCAAGTCTTGCATCTTCGTCAGCTCAGAGTTTAATATGTCCAGACAGTAATGCGAGACCCTCAGTGTCAAACACGCGAAAGGGAATCCCGTAAACCCCGTATACCTCCTAATTCTCGAAGACTCAAGCATTGTCCTGGTAATATATTACAAAAAATTATATTTATTTTTATAAATAAAACGAAATACCAAGAATTCTAATATATATGAAACGATCTAATACAGTTAAAAATAAGGAATGTACCTTATTCCAGTCATCTGGGACTGGATCTCCGCATCAATCTTCTGCCACACTATATCGAGCACGCCGGTCGACGTGCGAAGCCACCGCTTCAACACAGAGTGTGCACTCTCCACCCTACATGAAGTTGTGTTGTCAAGATGTGTTACCCAGTTAGTCCAAGCTTTCACGAACTTCTCCTTGTGGACTAGCCAAGTCCCCTCGACATAATCTAACACTTCTACATGATTCCGGTATTTGACCCGCAATTGAGCTACGACCGTGTCGTACTCATCAACCGTACCGGCATCGACAATCGCCTTCCACCTACCGCGCAAGAAACTCTGAGATAATTTTTTATTTTTTCCAAGAAACATGTAGAGTCTGTCTTCCACATCCTTGTTGATGTGCAACGTGCAGAGTAAGTGGGCAGACTAGGGAAAGTTCCTCCTAATAGGAGTCATTAAGCCCAACTCTCTGTCAATGACAACCACATTTAGATGTACCTGAGCAGCGGCGGATACAGAAATATTAATGAGACAGAGCAAAAATTGCTGAAATATTTTTACTATATTGCACATAATACTTTTATTACTAATAAAATTAAATATTTTATCCTTACCTCAGAGCCTATCAGAATTTTCAGTTTATGGAGAACCCAATCATAACTAGCCTCTTTCTCGTCCTTCACGAGTGCGTACGCAATCAAGAAGTTATTGTTGCACGGAGTCATGCCAATCATCTCGACCAACGGCATCTTGTACCTGTGCAAATGAGACCAAAAAATATAATCTCATAAAATTTAATCGAACATATTAATTTATATTCATACTAATAACATATTTATAAATTAACACGCCTGTTAGTTTTGTAGGTAGAATCTATGCCGACATACAAATAATATGTCCGGAATAGTCTGACTGAATCAGGATGGGCCATGAATATGTGTGTCAAGGCATTTGTGTCCGGATGGACATCTGTATAAACTATATAGCTGCTGCTCCTAGCCAAATGTAGAAGCTGGGTAGTAACGTCTCTACCCCCAAAACTCTCCTTGCGCAACATGTTTCTATAGTTATATATATGTCGCACAGTCGTGTGATCTCCTGGATTTTTTTCCTAGACAGCAGCCAAAATATTTGCCTGTGTCGCCTGCGCAGTAGTCATATCACGAATAATCATCTTTGATGACTGACTGATGCCGCTCGACCTTCGATGGCCCTCGGGATACACAGCAAATAAATGATTGTGGAAGCCCTTCTCTTCGTTTAGACACTTGTGGATCATCCAGAATTGCGTTCCGGGCACCCGCTTTACTCTTATCTCAAAAGGGCACTGGCACTTGTTGGTTTTCGATTTTCTAGAAGCAACATCTACCTTCTTCTTGCCTCTATAACGTTCGCCTCGTTTGCACTTCAAGATTTTCAACCTTCCTCCTTTTGTGTGTTTCGAAATAGTCAAATTGAAACCATTCAGAAGTGCCGTACTTTTTGCATCATCAATCGCAACCTCATCACTAACAAAAAATGTAGTTGTATTGAAAGCGGAACTGTAATCAATACCATCTCCTCCAAAATCTTCCAATGACACCTGCAATATATTACAATATTTCAAACATGTTAAATTATAATCTATATAACATAATAATTTATAACTCCTAACACGATAATATCTTACGTTCAATTTATAACTCCTAACGCGACTCGCGAGTTTAAAAGAGCCGAAACAGCCAAAATTCGCGACTCGCGAGCCGAAAGTCGCGAGTCGCGAGGGCATTTGTGACTCGCGACATCATGTCGCGAGTCGCGAGATCATTCGCGAGTACTCTCGCGACTTGCGAGACGAGGTCGCGAGTCGCGAGATTCTGGCACTTTTGCCTCTGTCCAACTCGCGACTCGCGACTTCCGGATTGCGAGTCGCGAGATTATGTCGCGACTCGCGAGATAAGGTCGCGAGTCGCGAGTTTGACAGAGCCAAAAAATCCAAAATTCGCGCTGCGCGACTTCATCTCGCGAGTCGCGAATACTGTCGCGAGTCGCGAATACACTCGCGACTCGCCAATTAATCTCGCGGTTCGCCATATTTGGGTGTTTTCCTATGCTAAACTCGCGAGTCGTGAGTTTTACAGAGCCAAAACTGTCAGATTCGGTTTCTAACTCCTAAAGCGATAATATCTAACGTTCAATTTATAGCATAATTATTTCGACTCGAGAACATAATAATTTCTAATCCCTAAAGCAATAATATCTAACGTCCAATTTATAACATAATTATTTCGATTCGATAACATAATAATTTCTAATCCCTAAAGTAATAATATCTAACGTCCAATTTATAACATAATTATTTCGATTCGATAACATAATAATTTCTAATCCCTAAAGCGATAATATCTAACGTCCAACTTATAACTCCTAACAGGATAATATCTAACGTCCAATTTATAACATAATTATTTCGATTCGATGATATAATAATTTCTAATCCCTAAAGCAATAATATCTAACGTCCAATTTATAACATAATTATTTCGACTCTATAACATAATAATTTCTAATCCCTAAAGCAATAATATCTAACGTCCAATTTATAACATAATTATTTCGACTCAATAACATAAAAAATTTCTAATCCCTAAAGCAATAATATCTAACGTCCAATTTATAACATAATTATTTCGATTCGATAACATAATAATTTCTAATCCCTAAAGCAATAATATCTAACGTCCAATTTATAACATAATTATTTCGATTCGATAACATAATAATTTCTAATTCTTAAAGCGATAATATTTAACGTCCAATTTACAACATAATTATGTCGAATTTATACCACAATAATAATTTCCATAACAAAATAAATTCTAATAATATATTTTTTTAAAAAAAAAAAGGTGTCCGGCCGGTCGGACCGGCTATGTCCGGCCGTCGCCAGCGGCCACCACATGGGCCGTACGGCCGGTCTGACCGGACACATACCGGTTCGTACGACCTTACAAACCGTACGTTCCCCTTTATGTCCGGCCGACCCGGCCGGACGCCGTTAATGACGTCCGGTTCGACCGGCCGGACAGGCCCGGTTCCGTCCATTTTCGGCGGCCGGACGGGAAAAAAAAAATACCTCAAAAGAAGAGCTCATTTTGCTGTAAGGGAAAAATAAAAAGAGCGAAATCATCCAAGGGGGACGGTAACTAGTAATAGGGGCGGTAATTAGTAACACCCTACTATAACCTACAAGATAAATGAGTATGGTTTTTATCTTTTTCTTTTTCCATAATGTTGTTATCAATCTGAAACTGAATTTGTAAAATTTTGTCCCACCAAATTTCTATCAATAATGTCACACTCTTTTATTTTAAACTGTACTTTAAATTATGATATTTAAGTAGAAATATTATTGAAAAAGTGAATGATGTAACCAAGTGCATGCTATGTTTGGGAAACTAATTAATAGTTGATAAGTTAACTGATCCCTTATAAGTGAATTTCGAGCTGATAACATATAGCTTGACTTATGATTGGAAAGCTAGCTGATATGATAAAAATAAAAGTGTTTGGTAAAATTAGCTTGAAAAGTTACCCAAAGAAAATTATAAGATAAACTTAAAATTGTTAAGAAAAACACGTCCTGTTAAACCAAACTTATTTATATACCAAAAACTTATGAACTAACTAAATAAAGCATAATGTATGCCCTTGTCTGGATTCGAACTCAATTTTGATCTATATATATTTACATTTAACGATTAAAAAAAACTAAATAAAGCATAAATTAACTTACCATGCTTACTAAATAATGTTCATTGTTTATTTCATTTCCAAGTAGGATATTACTAACAAGGAAAAAAAATATTATGGTCCCGTTACGGAATCATTTCATCGAGGTTTGTAATTGTTAGATCATCATATATGTAATGATCAGGATAGTTGATCTAACGATTCCAAACTCGACAGAATGATTTCGGAACGAATTGTAGCGTCTCCAAAAAAAACGTTGAAAATACGAGCGGAAACATGGGTGAGAGGGGAATTAAAGAGCATCACATCGGCAATACTCCCTCACAGTCTCTTATTACTCTCACCAGATCTGCACCATTTCTGAATTTCTTTACACAAAATTTGGTATCAGTTTCATATGATGATGATGATGTTTCACATACAATCTTGCTGTTGATCCTCATCGGAAATGTACAAACTCACCATATATTTTCCATAGTTCCGTTTCTCTCTTCTCTCTCTCTCTCTGGATGGGGAGAGAGAGGTTTTTGCGGATGAATGATGATGGCGGAGGCGAATATCTATGGACGGGAACGGTTGGATCATCGTCACCGTCGAGATCGCCGCCGATTTCGTCTCCGCCGCCCACGGTCGGCGTCGGCGTTGATGGTGGGGTAAACTACATACTCCACACCGTCACGAAATTTGATACGCTCGCCGGAATAGCCATCAAATACGGAGTCGAAGTATGTATTACCTACTTGTTGTCAATAAATGTAATTGCATACCTATCCGGCGCGTCATTGATTTTTATAGTTGATCTTGGAGACAATTATACGTGTTTTATATCTTCTCCTGTTTCATTGGAATCGCGTAGCTGCCTTTTGAGGCTTTGTGTGTAGCTAAATGAAAGAACTGCTAGTTTCAGTTGCATATTTGTCCTCACGGGGTTATCTGTATCTACATTGATTTCTACTATCTTTTTCTTGCATGCCAGATTATTTATTTAATTTTGTTCAAATCTAGGAGATTTTGCGAAGATCATAGACTAGGTGTTTGTGATTTGGTGTGTTCCGAACAGTTTGCTTATACTCATATCTCATATTCGTGCTCGATTCTACATTTAATGCTTTGTTTGGGCTATGAGATTGTTTGTTTCTTGTAGTTATGACTATGTACTTTTTGCTTGGGTTGTGTTTCGTTTAGGTAGTAGACATAAAGAGGCAAAATGGGTTGGTGACAGATCTCCAAATGTTTGCTCTTAAGACCCTCCAAGTACCATGCCCTGGGAGACACCCTCCTTCCCCAAGCTTGTCCAACGGGCACGAAACTCCTGCTCGGTACTTCTCTCTCATATCTACTTCTACTCTCTGTTTATCATATTTGAAGTTCCCAAAAAATTTTGTTGTGAAGATAATCATCAGAAAAAGGTATAATTTGTGCTATATTTTTTGTGATGTTTTATGTTCTCCTTGCTAATGAACATAAATGAACTATATGCTTTCAGTGTAAATATCATATCGCTTCTTGAATTCGTTATCGTAGATGTCTGTGTTGTTTGTCTTCTTCCGGATGCACCTCTTACTCTTATCAATATGTCCGCTTCTTTCTGCTGGAATTGTGATATTTACATTGCTTTATGGCCTTCTATTCTTTTTCTTGTTTTTGGTGCTCGAGGAAAATTTGATTTAGTCAAGTTGCAAAATCTTTTTGGCTAGTGTAACTGGTGGAGCATAGATCTGTTTATCAATAATCATGCAGTCCTGGAAATCGGTCTTACCTTAGGCAATTTAGTTGAGCATGGTCTAACGTGGAAACTAAACGCTGTGTCAGAAATTTAAAATCTTTGCATTAATCCCAAAAAAAGTTCAGATTATGAAGTGGGTTAGCTGATATCCACTCGCAGGCCAGGCAGATCTCAGCAGTCCGCATCTAGCCGTAGATACTCTGATATATTCGATTCGTTTCCGTCACTTAAATTGAAAGCTTCTTCAGATGAAAAAGTTTCACCCGCTATGAGCCACTTGCGAGGCTACTATGGTCTCAAACCAACGGATCCGAAAGGAGCATCAGAAGGTTTTGAAATGGCTGTGTACCACAACAAAGGGGGTTCTCAGTATCTGGAGGACGGCCTATTCTCCAGCAGATCATCATTTCCTACTTCAAATCCCCCACTGAGCCACCATAGAAAATCCAAGAGCGCCGCAAACTGTTTAGCTTCAGAAAATGGCGATCTCGTAGATCGACTCATGCCTGAAGAACCCGAAACTAACGACTCGGTCGAAAAGCTTATCAGGCGGCGCCAAAAATCTGTTGCTGATTTCAGCAAATGCACTCCGGAAAAAGTTCTGAAGGAGGAAAACACGAGCGGCATCGCAATATCATCAATCACAGGTAAAGGCTTGGCTCTCAGGCCCAAGTCGGCCGGCCGGACTGTGTCAGGGGGTGCTGATGGTGAAACGGCCGGAGCAGGCCCTTTTCCTTTGAGTTTGGGAGATTCTCTCTTAAACGACAGTGACAGTGGCGTGAGGAAGTCGTCGAGCACGTCGAGTTTGCAGGACTCGGAAAATGGTGCATTGTCGTCCATTTGGCCGACGTCCAATTGGAGTCTGAAGCCGGATTTTCAAGCTTTCTCCGCTGCAGTCATCACAAGGCCCATATTTGATGGCCTGCCCAAGCCGTCTAATCGGAAGAACAAAGCAGCACTGGATTGATTAGGTTAGTCTCTTTACATATTTATTGTTTCCAATTGATGAAATAGCAAAAGGATGATTCGTGGTAAAGAAAGAAAAAAAACATTCGAATCTCGTCGGATAGTTCTTCCTTTATTTTATTTTCTTCCTTTTCTTTGCCAAAGATTTAATTTTATGCGACTGCAGTAGAGCATGTGAGCAAGTAGCCTTGGATAGGCGTATGTATATTCGACTTTTGCGTCTGTTCACTTTGATGATGGAGGAGAAGAAGACATGTATACTGTATACATATCCTTATTAATACAAATTTGCATTGCTTCAGATTGTCTGGTGCCAGTTGAGTAAAACCAGTATTTATTCTGTAAAGCGAATCTGTGCTGAGTGCCAAAGTGAATGCTTATCTTAGGAAAATTGAGTTGGATCTATTTTCATATCTGTAAACGCACGTTATGTGATTTTTTATATATAAACATCCCAGAGTGGGATGACATCCCAGAGTGGGATGACATCACAGAGTGGGATGGGGGTTGAGGCTACAATTCCGACCTGTGTGAATATAATGGCCCATGGAGGGCTAAAAAGTCAATGGGCTAAAAGTCAATGGTCTACATGAAATCACGTTATGTGATTTCATAAAGAATAATTGAATGAAAATATTTGAAACGTGCAGATGAGGTTGGTTGGTAGGGTGGTTGAAAAACAGCTAGAAGAAAGAAAGTCGCAAATACTTGATGAAAATCTAAATACAGATTTGTATTTTTATAGCCGAATTTGGACACCAAATTTTGTGAACCTGATAAGTTAATGGCAACATTTTTAGCCATGCTGATTTAACAAGATTTCAACTTTTTATCTTTTGATCCGTAACAAGATTTCAACTTTTTATCTTTTGATCCCTGTAATTTAGTATTTTGCGCCAATTTCAGTCTTTTTTTTTGTTCGAAACGATAGAGATATTATATATCAAAACGCACAACTGTGCAAAAATGCAGCCCAAAACTGAATGTTACAACCAGGAACTAGAAACTGTTGAAGGATTAAAATTGCAACAAAATTTAAAATGACAGGACTTAAATTGCTAATCGAAAATCCATACAAAAGATTTTTTATTAGTAATTTAAGTTCTGTAATTTTTAAATTTTGTCCCATTTTCAGTCTCAAATGACTGAAATTGCATTGAAATTTTAAAATCATAGGACCAAATACAAAAATGTACAATTGTTAGGACTAAAAAGGCCACTGGATTAAACTAACAGGACTAAATTTGCAATTTTGCCTAAGTTAATCTATTCAATATCACGTTTTAGTTGTGGATGATTGAGGTTACGAAATTGACATCCATTGTTTTCAGTCATATATCTCATGGTATTCTTGGTGATCATTGAAACAGCGAGTGGATATCATTTCTTTTTGTTAGTTAATAGTATATTTTATGTCATGAAAGTTATGAACGAATAAAAATACTAATTATTTCATCACTTCTTTTTGTTTCTACAATTTTACTCTCAAATAGAAAAATTAAAATCAATCACATCCTCCCTATATATTATTCCTGAATGCGCTGAGCCTACATGGTTGCTTCTGGTGCTTCGAAATCTTACTTGGCAAAGAATCATGCTTCGTAATTAGGTTTGGACAGATAATATTGATATATTAATAATTAATAATCTAGGTTCGGGCATTCTATAAATATTAAATAGTTAACTTAGGTATTTTAATATCACTTATACTAATATAACTCTTTAATTCTTTGTAATTTACATAGTGAGACATTAAGTGACTAATATATCCATACTTTTGATTTGTTTCATTCAATTAGTTATTTAATTGTAAATGTATCTTAAAAGTTGATAACTTTTGTATTTCTTATTGGTTTTACATATATAATATATCAAATTAATCATCTTTTGATGATCTTCGATTTGACATCCATATTGTATATATGAAATAAATAAATTATATTTATCTTTATAATAATAAAAAATAATAATATTTATTAAAATTCATTAGAAAAATAAAATTATTTCTCAATTGACATATTTATGTTTAATGTAGTTATATGTTGTAAGTTTATTATAATATAACACAATAAGTCGCACAAATAAAAAAGTGTCATACTAAATATTATATATATATATATATTTATAAAAGGTACTTAAATTTTCAATTACTTTTTTCATTAATTTTAGATTTAAAAAAAAAAAATAGGCAAGCACCCGTGTAATACACGGGCGTTGTAATAGTTATAATATATTTTTCACTAAAAATCCTGAAATATTTTAACTATCACTAAATATTTTATTATTTATTATGTTGTACTTATTTCCCTTAAAGTCCAGCCTGACTTTGGGCTTACACAAAGTCCAACTACCAACAAAGCCCAAGAAGTACACGAACAACCTAGAAAATAGCAGTGGTCGAGTTTGCCGATCTTCCATGATCGACATATAAAGACTCTTGACAATCTCTCTCCATGTCTTCCTCTGAAAGATTTACAATCTCCTATACATGTGAACGCTGAACCGATAAAGCTGATAAAATCACCGTCCAAACTGTTAGATCCTCAAAAGAAGTGTCCTTGCATTAATACACGTGTGGCGCTCTACGCCTCTAGGTGGCACAGAGGAGTTATTGCACCTCATCTGTTTATGTATAAATTCGACCCCTTCGAACAAGGGATCATCATTTTCATCTTCGTCTTCCTTTTTAGCAAAATTCTTCATGGTATTATTGGTGATAAGTTAACCTATTCAATATCACGTTTTAGTTGTGGATGATTGTGGTCACGAAATTGGCATCCGTTGCTTTCAGTCAAATATCTTCATGTATTCTTGGTGATCATTGGAACACCCAGTGGATATCATTTTTTTTTGTTAGTTAAGATATTTTATGTCATCAAAGTTATGAATGAATAATCTATTTATTTCATCACTCCTTTTTGTTTCTACAATTTTACTAGGAAATAGAAAAATTAAAATCAATCACATTATAGTATATTTTTCAATAAAAATCCTCAAATATTTTAACTATCAATAAATAATTTATTATTTATTACGTTGTACCCAATTTCCTTAAAGTCCAGATCGACTTGTCAAGAAGAAGCTAGACATATAATTGGGCTTACACAAAGACTAACTACCAACAAAGCCCACCAAGTACGCGAACAACCCAGAAAACAACAATGGTCGACTCTGTCCATCCTACATGATCGACAGATAAAGGCTCTCGCCGCTCTCTCCATGCCTTCCCCTGGAAGATTTGCGATCTCTCATACATGTGAACGCCAAACTAGGGCTGCAAATGAGCCGAGTCGAGTCGAGCATTGACCGTATCGAGCATGATTGAATTTTTTTTTTAGCTGCTCGAGCTCGAGCTCGAGCTCGACTCGATAAAAAAATACAAGAGCTCGAGCTCGACTCGAATTCAAAATGCTCGAGCTCGGCTCGAGTTCGGTTCGAATTTTTTCAAACAATTTTGTAAAATAACCATTAAATACATATATATACAAGAGTATTTTAGTAATTTCATATATCTCGAGCCGTTCGTGAGCCACTCGACAATGTAAAATATGGGCTCGAGCTCGACTCGAGTTTGGTCAAACTCGAGTTCGAGCTCGAGCCGAGCTTTGACTCGAGCGCTCGCGAGCAGCTCGCGAGCTGTTCGACTCGTTTGCATCCCTACGCCAGGCCGATAAAGCTGATAAAACCACCGTCCAAGATATTACATCCTCAAAATAAGAGTCCTTGCATGAATACACGTGGTAGCGCTCTACGCCCCTAGGTGACACAGAGCAGTTATTGCATCCTCATCTTTTTATGCATAAATTCGACCCCTTCAAACAAGGGATCATCATTTTCATTTTCGTCTTTCTTTTTAACATAGCAAAAATATAAAAAAACACTCAAAATATTCAATCATATAAAATCGCTATCTCCGACAATTTTGTCATGTAATAAAAATTCTCTCAATAAAACTTTCGGAGAAATCATTCTCGTCGATCTCCTCAGCAGATCAATAATTATTTATTTATCGCATATTTAATTCTCTATTTTTCGTGATTTCATTTATATTCACTCTGATTTCTTGCTTTTAATTACATCATAAAAAAACGTTGTAACCACCGATTTAACCGTCCACATAATATCAACTGTAATCGTTGGTGGTCGATCGTCGACAAAGTGGCGCTAGAAGGAGAACGATTATCAATGGTTACCTTTGAACCTATCTCTGTTAAAGGTTTTCTTTCAAACACTATTTTTCACTCATTCTATACACAAATATAATCCTTGTCCAAAGAAGGGCGGCCCCACCGACCATTTTTCTTCTCTTCTGATTGGTCAGAAGAAAGGGCGGCTCAGTCGACCAATCCGTTTTCGATCACCCCGTTTTCTATCCAAATGAAAAATCCTCTATAGGTGTTCAAATACCATCTTTTCACTTCCTCACATCACAAAAAAAATTAAGATCGATGTATTATGGCCAAATCTCATATTAGTCCACCTTCGAAAAGAATACAAATCGATTAGCTCACTCTCGACAAGAACATTGAAGGTGTAGAACTCTTCGATCTGAAATAGCCTTGGATTCCTAAACGCCCCTGAGAAGAAGTATGGCAAGAACCTCCAAGTTGATCCACCGCCAAATCTTGTCATCTGGTTTTAAAATCAGTCAACTCGGCGATCGTCTTATAATTTTCGGGCAATCACAAGTTTCTTATTCCTTATCGCTCGACAAATCGGTTGCCATATCGAGTTGTTGTTACCCACCCGGGGCTAGACCAAGTCACATCCCGTAGGGTGAACCTCAACTTCGGGACCGAGCTTAACCATGAAGGTCTGTTGAGACCACAAACTTCCCCCATTATCAACGGTGATCCACCTGATCGACATCAATAAGACCTGACCTGTGCGAAGATGTTCCCCGAGACTCTTCGACAAAATATCATCCCACGAAAGTGCTGTTAGATTGATGAAGAACATCGGTTCATGTATATATCGAATAACTTAATAATTCAATCATAT